TATTTATGGACTAGATTTGGAAAACAAAGAAACATAGGTAAAAGATAGTTAATTGATTTTGGGAAAAGCTAAAATTTCCTGCAGTATCTACCTGGCGAAGAAACGTAAACAACTTATGACATCTTCGAAGGGTGGGTGGTTTGATAACACCTATAGTGATTAAGAATTGAGAGAAACTTAGCCACTATGTGGCAAAAAATATAAGACACCGAAATATTCCCTAGTCAGTACTCATTTAGGGAGAATTTTAAATTCTCAATAGTGAACAATAGTAGTTTGAAATGTTAAATTCTTTCTTAATTAAAGACATCAAAACCATAACAAATTTGAAAAAGATATTACGAGTCTATTTAACGTTTACACTAAAAGAACACTAGCAAACAATCTTTGTAATTTATAATCTTTAGAATTCAAAAGATTAAAAGCAATAATGCTCTACAAAAGCTTAAACTCGTTTAATAGTTATTTCAAGAAACATTTTATGAATTTGTTCTGAAGATTATAATGTCATTAACATTCAGTTTTTTGTTGTCAACATACCACGTAAAAGGTAATGGTTTATGTTTAGTTACATCTTTACATAAATACTGTAATTAAAATTATGTAGTTGGTTCTAAATAACTTTTAAAATGTTACAGAGAATCTGTATAGCTTTGTTATTAACAATAACCGCAGAAAATATATAGTATATCAGTATGATTATGTGGTATGACCAGATGCTTATTCAGGAACTAAGAAAATATACTGACATTTCAAATGTAAAACATCCCTCTAAAGTCTTTGTCAGACAAGAGTTTTTTAAACACACCAAGCTATCGTTCTCACTGCACTTTGAGAACGCGTTCAGATACAGTTTATTCTACAAAGAACTGGGACAAAGACAACTTCATCACCAGAACTGTCGGTATCGACATGCTGTCTTCAACACGAACATGGACCTAGAGAAATGTTCATGACTACACTTACAAAGACATGTGGGTTGTTCGTTTTGCTAGGAATAGCATTAGTGTATTTTGTTTTGTGAAGACAACCCTGATCTGTCCATAAATATAGATATAATTTGTGAGTAAATCGTATAACAATTAAAAACCGTTGAGGTACAAGTACTATGGACAAGCAAGGTGGAGACTGTATGGGTAAGCACTAAAAAGTGAGGCGGACGGCCTACTAAAAACGGATTTACAAATTTTACATGGAAATTTAGAATTCATGTGTGATAAATAAACCAGTTGAGTAAGTAGTGAAAATAACAATTAATACAACAAGGCATAAGACATAAGACTATTACATTATTTGCAATTTCACCAAATTCAAAAGCACAATAAATAGCAGCAAAATAAACTCTGTGCAACAAGAGAATGGCAAGAAAAAAGTTCTAATATAACAGGCAAAGTATTGAGGAAAACCAGGCATACATTTGGAGAACAAAAGGTCTGGCTTATAGGTACACGTCGCAACTAAGCTATCTCGTACGGTAAATCTTATTATAAAAAAGTTCAAATCAATTTAACTAATGAGAAATAACCGTATACTTCACGGGTACCGCAAAGTTCTTGGTTGCTTTGCAATCTTTCGAGACTCAAAAGTGTATATTTTGGTTTTATTCACCAAAATAAAACCAAAATATTTATATTTTTTTTCTTTTTTTCTTGGTCTTTTAGTTATTCGCTGTAGAAATAGGTACGAAAAGATGATACCCCAGTTTAGTGTGGGTTAATTTAAAGACTTGGACGGGTGGCGTCGTCCTGTAATCCAGCTACTAGGAGGTCACGAATTGTGGATATTTATAGGCATGCACTGTGGATGTGGTAGTCCCTGGATGTGGATTAACGTCCGCACGAGTGAGTACTGCGACTATCCGCAGTACTATCCTGATAATTAGACCAATTCGTATATACCAAGGAAAAATGTGGTTCGGATTCCACTATAAACTGTAGGTCCCTTAGTTGCCATTAGTTGTATGGGCTATTAATTAACAGCTGTGTCTAAGGAATGTCGGCCTTAGTCACTAACAAGACTACAAGATCGCGCCACTTATCCTACACTCATCTCAATTCATACTTGGCTTAAAATACCTACTATGTATGGTTGCCATTTCATTGAACAGTATTAACAGTATAATTAAAAAAAAAAAACTGCGTCAAATAAATTACACATACTTCCTCTCATTACCTTTTCAACAATCCTCAATATTATAATGGGACGGAGAACTGACATTTTATGGGTAATTTCAATAAATTTCAATCCTTAATTTTTTACAGTATTGGGAATTCCACAATTTCATTTTGAGTTGAAAGTGCCACAAAATACTAAATTGTAATCAAAACCTTTCGAGAATATTTAGTAAAAATCGGGTTCTCCATTATTTTATGTTGTTCAATGGCACATCCCCCATTTACTATAATAATTTTAAAAAACGCCTAGAGATACCATGGATTTGTCAAATGCCAAACTTCACCAAAATCACACCACAGGCTACACAGGTATAGTCTCCACTCCAACAACCCCAACGATTATACCAACGATCACAAAAGACCAATATCGTTGGATTATACTCAGTTTATTCCCACTTTAACCTCACAATATACAACCTCAAGTGGTACAGCAGGCACAAACAAAGACAAACTCCAGTGTAGTCCACGACGTGCCAACGTTTGGCATTGTTGCAAGATCATTGTATTTATTTAGGACTTCAGATCTTCTATCCGGGACAGCTCGCCTGCTTTACGATGCTTAAGTTCGCTAAAACGACTCTCGACTATTTTGTTACGACTAGTTTAATGTTTTCCTCTGTTGTATTGTGATTTGTTCTGAAACGGTTATGAGTTTACAGAAGTTGTACAGTCTTTGTGAAGTTAGTAACGCCTGATCACTGGGGTATTTATAAGCTTTGATTGTAGTTATGAACAATGGAATAACCAGTATGAATGTGAGACAATTATACTTGTGTCTGCTTGATAAACATACATGTTCATAAATTTAACGAAAGTAGTTCAAATTTATATCCTGTAGATTACAATCTCCACTTTGATGTTGCACACGGACCTTGCATGTTCTCCAAAGACTTTTTCTCTGCTTTAAAATGATTATTAACACATTTAAAGGGCCAGTTTCCTCAAATTATCACTTTTGGAATATATCTTATGTTTTAAAATAACCAAGGAGGTGTGTCTGTAATAAAGAAAGATTTAGTGTTAGTTCAAATAAGACTTCCTTACGATATAAGCTTGGATTTTTCATTCTTGCTAAACTTTAAAATCGGTTAATGTTAAGAGATAAGCATATCAGCCTACCTTCGAACGACTGAATGATTTTCATTCGATATAACAAGTTTACAAACATTTTATTTGTGAAAGGACATAACCTAAAATCCTCAAAAGTTGTCATTTACGTGGATAGTTTTGATACCTCTTCATATAATAAATTACCAAAGTCAATCAAAGAACTGAAAGGTAAAAAATTCAAATTTTTTTGAAAATTTGGCTGATTAATAAATGTCCAGCCAGACTTGAGGATTTAGATAAAAAAAGGTATGGCTAGCCTATTGTGTGAGTAGAACTTTGTAGAGTAGAACGCATGGTTTTGTACTCAAATCTGTATTTTTGCATGGTTTGCTTTGTATGATAAGTGACTGTAACATTGACGATTGCAATGCATTTTTTTCATGTTAAAAGCAAATAAAGACATTTCATTTCATATCCTTTTTGCATTTGAAATAAAAATCATGAACAATTTTGATCGATACGAATTCATCAGGGGTTTAATCAGTTTTAACTAAATTTGAATTGTACACACAAATTGAAAATAATCAAAAACAAAGTTCAAAATACTACAACCAACAAAAACCTGTGCATAATCCATTACTCGTCCACGCATCTAATAATAAACTAAGAAGTTATTTAAAGAAGAATCACACACAGATGCTAAATATATTCGTTGCCCTCTTGTAAGACAAAGGCATTAGTACGGATTGTTGGCAGGGTTGGTCTTTGCAGCAGATTACATGGTCCGGTGACATGGTCCGTAAATTCATACTTTAATATAGAAATGACCTACATAAAACAGAGGATGTGCTGTGCATTACGGTAGGAAAAACATGTCATCTTCTAATGCACCATTATTTAGGAACAAGGGTTGGTAAATTGTGCAATTTATTAGGGTACGAAAATGCGCAAAGCAAAACAATACAGTGCAACCCCCTTTTATCTTTCAAGGATTATGTTTGAGACATTTAATAGATGAATAACAGTACTAGTTATTTACAATTTTTTTTTCTTCTGATTTTAGATGCACACTGTAAAAAGTGATAACCTACCTCAAAGAAGTTCAGATGGTAAAAAAGTAGCCTATTTGAAATCTGACTGTAGTTAAACATTCAAACTGAATGATCAGCTGGTAAATTAAATTGTTAGGGGGTTGTATTATAGTATATTTCGTACCTAGGGCAGAAAACCATTTTGGTCCGCGGTACGAACACTGCTTTTCACTACGCTATACCTTATTACCACTATTCACCACAATAATAATGCACACTTACAGTCAAAACAAGTAAAACTTTAAGGTTATGTGAAGAAATAGTTTGAGGAATCAGCAAAAATGATAATAAATAGGTTTGAGCACAACAAAATTTTTATGACTACTCACTAGGCAGCGGTGACAATAAAACAATTATACTGCAATGCTATGGATACTGATTGTGTATTTAATATGCATTAATGTTGTAAGAAAGTAAGCGGGCAGCTGATTTTCGGCCCTAGGGATGTAAAAACCTGCTCGGTCCCCAAACCGAAACCACGATGACAGCTGGCATGGACAGCAATACGTAGCTTTCGGCCTCCAATAAACGTTTGTGACACGGCTTAAAACATCAAAGTTTGTTGAAAAAGTGTTGACACAAAGAAATTAAGTGTGTTAGCTATTCAGTACTGAGCTTGGGGATCTTACAAAACAGAAAATTAAATATATAACCAGCTGGGTGCAATTATTAAAAGTCTTTTTACCTTTTTCAGGTCCTTGTTGAGTTCAAGATCGTCGGAGGCCTTCCGCTTTTCAGTCCCCGGAGTGACCAGGCCTTCCTTGTCCTGCAACAATAAAATATGTTTAGTCAATTATCAGTAAAAAATTACGTTGCTTCTGAATTGTAGGTTAAACACGAACGTTCCAATAGAAATTGAGGCGCTTGTAGGTTAAATAATTTCTTAAAGGAGGGAAAACTGTCTGGTTTAGACTGTACATCCATAAAACACTTTTTATTTTCACATCTATTTTTTTTTTTAATAAATTAAAATTTTCTTCAAAGAGATTGTGTTTCATACAGTTGAAACATTTATGGAAAAACAAAATAAAAACATTTTTAAGTCAGAGTTATTTAAATAACACTAAAATACAGGTGAAGAACTTTTAAGATTAAAATAAGTCACTCTTAGTAAAAAAATAAACAAAAATCTGGATAGGAAACTCGGGCCAGACAAGTTCCTGGAAGCGTAATCACAGGGGAAACACGAGGTCCTGTGAAGGATAATCCTTCAGATCCTGAAGGATACAGAGATTACTGTCTAATACTTCTACCTATCGTCAGCCTCTTGTCGTCACGTTCAAGCTGTATTACTTATAATAATATTATCATATAAAATAAATCAATAATAAAGTTAAGCATATAGGCCTAAACATATACACGCTACACATGAAATATAAATGTTTGGTATCGCATAGCTTTGATGTAAGGAACTTTATTTACGTTTTATACGTACTTAATTTGTTCCATAACAGATAGTTTTATAAAATTCGTCGTCTTCTGTCGGGCAAGGAAATCATTTTTAAAGACAGCACATTATGTTTATTGAATGTGTTGCCAGTACCATAGATTTTATACTTGGATGGATACCAAATAATTTGTTTTCCAAAAAACATATATGTCTTTAAGTTAAATTAAAAATATAATTTTTGAAATTTAAGAAATTTAACAATTATTTTTTGTACTAAAATGTGTCAAACACATTGTTTTTTCTTCTGTCAGGCTCATATCAATATTTTACTGACTTTTATTGCGCTGTCTAAAAACTTTCACGATAAAGCAGCAAGTCATTTTTATGATGTCATAATTATTTTATAAATCAAAGTATAAGCAATAGCATATAAACTCTAAAAATTTTGAGCCTAAATTGTTTGTTCAGAAAAAGTAGTAAACACATACAATTTTCTCTATTAACTAAATCGTTGCTTTTGTCTAGGATAATGTTAAAAAAGGAAAATTAGGAACTACATAAACTATAATCATTACGGCTTACAAGCTTGTACATGCTTTTTCGATTATCTGTATTTACATTTTAATACAAAATTATTTCAATACTAGTCTTGCAAAAACCAATCATTGACTTGTCAACAAAACTATGCACTGTAGTTCATTCAGTAATGTAAATACGGATACAACTGATTTAAATAAATAAATTGACAAGCCATCTCTCACGTAATAAAATTGTATAAATAACAACACAATCAATGATGTACTAATCAAAATTCCATTTAGGATGGTTCTAATAACATTTTCGTGGGGAGCGAGCTAGCGTAGTGGTTAGAGCGCGGGACTTCAGTCCCTGAGGTCCCGGGTTCGATCCCACCAAGTCACCAATGGATTTTATCTTTGTGATAATGCCGCAACCCCTACGTCTAGCCTGAAGTCATGTGAAAAACCATCCCAGGCTCGTGCCTAGCATCCTAGGACAAAAAAATAATAAAAAATAACATTTTCGTATGCATATGAACGTTTTGTTTCATATCATGGAAAATAATTAGTTCCCAGACGAATAATGTATTAATAGGCTAGGCATATTAGGAATATAAGTGGCAGTTAGCGGAAAGTTTAGGTACAGTCCTAATCATCACTTTTCTTTATGTTTTTTGGGTCGCTGAACACGAATATGAGGTTTGCTGACAGATATTTTTCCCGGAACATTGGTTATTTTGTGAAAAACCTTAAAATTTTGGCACTTTTTTTGGTTTTTTGGGCAAATCTCGGTAAGTATGGGTTTTTGAGAAAATCCTGCTTTGAAAAATTAAAGATGAAAAATTTTACTACAAGTTTTCTATATAATGTTTGTTTCTACGACGAACCGTTTCGCCACTAGATCACACTAAAAAAGGCCAGAAGTACAAAAAATTAAAAACATTGCTAAATGCTGCCGTTTTACATTAGGTTTCCATGGAAACAACCCATGTTACGATAATTTTAACTATTTATTCATGATAACAAACTGGAACACACTTAAAAATACCCCCGCCACAGCAAACCTGCAGACTAAGCGAATTTCCATTTCCCCGATTGGATTTACACTAAAATGTCTCCTTAGAAATATCACATTTGTTCCCTATTTAAATAAAAGTTTAACGAGTACTTAGGTTTGCTGCAACAGGGAGGGTAAAAAGGTGTTTTTTGTAAAATGTAATAATTTGGTATGAAATGAATGCATTTCCCAAATTTGATAAGAATAACATGGGCATTTTAAATTTAAAGATTTTTGGAATTTTCTCAGTAACCATTAGGCGCATAACAACGCTTTAATATACTAAATTATTTGTTTTTTAAGCTCTACAAAATGGTATGGAAAGAAATCGCTAAATTTTAAGTTTATAGGGTCAAAAATAGGAAAAACCAATTTTTACTCCATAAAACCCCCATCTCTGTTCTCTGTTCCCATAGTCGATCATGCTGGGTCGCGAACTCGTTCGAATAGACGTAGGTTTACACGTTTGTCCCAATTTTAATCAAAATCGGATGATTTTTGTCGAGTTCTCGCCCTAACGGACACATGATTGAATTTTCTCTAGGGGCCTCAAAACGAAAAAGTAAATCGGTCCCGGGTCCAGGTCTTACCATGAGTAATACGGTAATAGCTTATTCCCTATAGGGGAAATTCACTTATAAACTAACTAGTGTGTCTTCTGACCACAATGTGTTGGGGTATACGGGTAAGAATTCTCAACTTTCATCGCGTTATTCACTATGGCAAGTGGCTGGACACGGTCTACTCGTCTGAATTTGACGATACCAAAGTTAAAAGTTATCTACAACTCTTTTAATGTATTTCATCCTTTTTTCTCAATCACTATATCAGTCAACCCGGTGGCCAGCAACATCCCTGTGCTGAGAAAATAAATGGGGGTTTTGTGGGAACGGGAAATGTTCCAGCAGTCAGTCATACATCTTGGCATAGATTTTTCAAGTGTGTTTCAGTTCATTATCATGAATAAATAGTTCTAATTATCGTAACATGGATAGTTTCCATGGAAACCCAATGTAAAACCTTTGTAAAACGGTTAGGGTTTATTTTCATTTTTGGTTTTGCCCAGCATGATTGGACTATGGGAACAGGGATTTATGGGGTAAAAATTGGTTTTCCCTATTTTTGACCCTATAAACTTAAAATTTAGCGATTTCTTTCCATACCATTTTGTAGAGCTTAAAAAAATAAACAATTTAGTATATTAAAGCGTTGTTATGCGCCTAATAGTTACGGAGAAAATTCCAAAAATCTGTAAATTTAAAATGATCATTTTATTCTTATGGAAACTAAGTAAACTGTTGTAGTTTGCTTGTTTATGAACATATTTTGATCAGATTTGGAAAATGCATTCATTTCATACCAAATTATTACATTTTACAAAAAACACCTTTTTACCCTCCCCGTTGCAGCATACCTAGGTACTCGTTAAACTTTTATTTAAATAGGGAATAAATGTGATATTTCTAAGGAGACATTTTAGTGTAAATCCAATCAGGGAAATGGAAATTCGCTTAGTCTGCAGGTTTGCTGTGGCGGGGGTATTTTTAAGTGTGTTTCAGTTTGTTATCATGAATAAATAGTTAAAATTATCGTAACATGGGTTGTTTCCATGGAAACCTAATGTAAAACGGCAGCATTTAGCAATGTTTTTTATTTTTTGTACTTCTGGCCTTTTTTAGTGTGCTCTAGTGGCGAAACGGTTCGTCGTAGAAACAAACATTATATAGGAAACTTGTAGTAAATTTTTTCATCTTTAATTTTACATAGCAGGATTTTCTCAAAAACCCATACATACCGAGATTTGCCCAAAAAACCAAAAAAAGTGCCCAAATTTTAAGGGTTTTCACAAAATAACCAATGTTCCGGGCAAAATATCTGTCAGCAAACCTCATATTCGTGTTCAGCGACCCAAAAAACATAAAGATAAGTGATGATTAGGACTGTACCTAAACTTTCTGCTAACTTTCCTAATATGCCTAGACTATAAGTATTCTTAAGAGTATTTTTTATGAAGCACAATCAATGTCATATTAGGTAGGAAGTTCAATCATAATTGCCAGCAAAGCTCTTGGCATCGAATCTGAACACAATTAAGAACTTAAATTTAAAAAAACTGAGGCTAATAGGTAAAACATAATCTTCAAAAAAAGAAATGGGCAAATATAATACTGTACTGGTAAACCAAGTTATTACCTCAGAGGTTGTCTTCAAAACGAAGCTGTCAATATCGTGAAAAGTCTATTTCACAAACGTCAATAGTAAATTAACTCTGTTGAAAGATGCGCATTCGTTGTGAAAGAATTTCTTATTTCAACCAGAGCGATGTCTGTTGGAACTCACAGTGTTGTAAAAAAAAGGTACATAACTAAAATTGTTTGAATCCCGAAAATGTACAACTGTGGCTCTAATTTAGTAAATCGAAGACAATTTTATATATTTTCAAGTTAAGGAAGGCCTATACTAATGTAAACCTTTTATTCAATTAACTTCTGTTGCATTGCTTGTAGAGATTTTTGAAGTGACTGTGATTTTTTTTAGAAACAAATACATTCTGTACTCTTTTATATAGATTTACTAAAACAATATCTCACCCCGAAATAGGACTTTCGTTAAGAGTACCTATTGAACGATACTTTTCATCACGAGGAAAAAATTAATTCGTCAAACTTAAAAAAAACTTCAGTTGTAACTTTGTTGATGTCAGGCAAAGTATTGTTTGTGTAGCGAAAGTAACATTTATGTCAGGAAAAGTCAGCTTATCACAATCAGTCTTTTGTGTATGGAAATTGACGATTTTATAA